GTTCTTATTAGAGTGCTTTGTTTTTAGTTAACTTGCAAGTTACTGCACTTCAGGCAGTTTTATTCCAGCACAGGATGTCTGTCCACTAAGTTAATAAAAACAGGTGGAGTGGAAAGCTTCCCATCTGGAAAAGCTGTGAGTTTCAAGGAAAGTCAAAAGCCTTTAAAAATCTATCAAAATCAGTAAAAAATGGAGTTCAAGAGACACTGTTTAGTTAGGTGCTCTTGAAAATAATAAGTAAAGCAGCTCTTTAGTAAAGTGGTAAATGTTTTAAATGACTAAGCCAGAAGACTATTTGATATCTCATTTACTTATTATTCATCCCACTTGTTTTCTTTTTGGTGCTTTTTTCCGATCTGCCTGATGAAAAACAATTACATGGATTTCATTTTGTGATTCTCACTTTCAGAATCTCAACAGCTAATATTTGCATTGGGAAAAAACCTGCAGACCAGTGGGGGTACTTTTGGGTAAACGCGATTGTTTCCGGTGATATTTCTGAAATAATAGCTGCGGTTCAGTATGTCATTCTTTGGGTGGCCTGTTTTTTACTGTGAATTATTGGACCTAATTTTTTACCTTGAGGCTCTACTCCCTCTTGCTAGGATGTAGCATTAATTTAGGAGATAGTCGAGTTTATTATTAAATTATAATCCTATTGAAGGTTAGCGGGTGGTGGTTGTACCCTTGGCACATGAGGCTATGGCATCCAGATCTGTATCTGGCTGTCAAATTGAGTGAAATACTTGGTGACTTTGGGTCACGTGGGGGTTTTGCTTTATTTTCCTGTCACTGTTAGGCAAAACGGCAAGAGATGAGCGTATCTTGGCCGGCTCTTGTCAGGACCTTAATTGTAACCAGCTTGGAACTGAATTCGAGCTCCTTCAATACTGGCCATCTGCAGCTGGTTTGGGAAGATGGTTTGTGTTTGAAGGAACTTTTTAGCCTTGAATGTGATTTTTATTTGGCATGGAGCTCTCCTATTTCAACAAGAGCCACATACATGGGTAATGTTTTATGTTGTATAGCTGTAAGACCATCACCTTAAAAGAGAGTGGGCCCCTCTGAAGGTACAGAATTGCAGAGGATTAGCCAAGATATTAGAATTAAACTAGATCGGGACCTGCACAACCTCAAAAAGAAGGACTTGCAAGAATACACCTCGGTTCAATCTTTCTACGTTTGCTTTTGGAAGGTGCTGGCTGTCTGGTAGGAAACGATTTGCTCATCGGTTACACTTGCAGATTACCAAGGCCATAATCCATTGCCTGAAAAATCAAAGTGAGACTCTTTAAAAAACATAAAATGTCATATTTGTTTATTTTTAGCCTTGTAGAGAACCCAGAAAATCTTACTGAGGCTTTGGGAGTGTGTGCCCTGTCAAAACTTGCAGAGAGCTTTAGGAACGTCTTTTACTAGCAGTAGATAGAGTATTCCTCTGAGCAGACAACACAAAAGCACACATGGAAACTCCTTTGCCTCTGGGTAGCCTGGTTATGTCGGTGAAGAGATGGCCTCTTGATTAAATCCAGACCGAGCAGTTTCCTGTTAGCATGCTAACTCAGCCCACAATGTCTTATTCTGATAGTCTGTTATTGAGCTCGTCTGCCAACTCCTTTTTCCTTTTAAACTTACAGGCAGAATTGCTAAAATAATACAAATATAAACAATCCCTAAAAGTCTTTTAAAATGATTTTTAGCTGTTTAATGTTTTGCTGACAAACTCAGTTTTAGATTTCCAGGATTTGGGATTGGTTTCTGTTTTGTTGTTTGGTGGTTTGTTTTTTTTCTTGGTTTTGGTTTGGTTATTTTTTTTTAACGTTCTCCCAAAATGATGTCTTTTGGAAGTTGCAGTGTTGCAATTAATGGAAAATTTTGCGCATGTTTCAATCTTGGAAGCAACTTCAGCCCTTGTTTAGTACGCAGTTGTATCAGTGAATGAGGTTTATACACACCGTGAGTAGAACATGGCCGTACATCAATACCTTGTGATTGGGGCAGTCTGCTGGATAGAAAATTTAAGAGTTAAATACAGTGGTTCAGACTTTCATTCCTGTTTGAAAGCGGTTGTGTTGTGTAACCAGCTATTTTCAAAAGTATATTTTAATTGCAAAATGAAAAGCCATCAATAAAATTTCTTTTTTTCCTTTTTTCCAAGCAAGTTTTGCTTACGGAAAATACGGAAGGAGAGGATATATAGTTGTAATAGCAACCTACCCTTTTAGGTGTTTCTGTAATGGAAGTGTTGGTTATAATTCTATCCAAGCCAAGTATATAACAAGTTATAGACCTTTAAACCAGCCGTAAGATCTGTGGAACAAAATTTTGCAGGTTATTCTGATGTAATCTCATTCATTCTCTGTGGGATCGCGTTGGGGTAGCGGTGGGCTTTGGTGCAGCGGTGCTGAGTGTTGCCTTGTCTGTTTATAAAAGGCATTAATGGGTTCATGACACAAGACTGAGTTACCCAATCTGTCACTTCACACTTTGAACAGATGTAAACCCGTCGTGCTTCCAGGAATTGTGTTAACAGCTTGCCCCTGAGCTTGTTTTCCCTGGGTCAGGCTGTGTGTTTCTGCAGCCAGGGGGTGAACGAGGTTGGGCAACTTGCCGGGGTTAAGCCCACCAAGTGAACCGAAGGGCTCTGTCTCGGCTGGATTTGTCTCCACACTTTCTCAGCCTGGTTTGCTGTAGCGGGTGGCAGAAAAGGGCCTCAGGGAGTGGCTCCTTTTGGTGGCTTAAACTCCGTATGAAACAAAGCTGTTCTGCGCTGAGATGGGTCTGCAGGTTTCCTAGGACCAATGCTTACCTGCGGTGGCCGTGCTCTGTACCGGCTGCTGACAGATCCTTGTGTTTTGATCCCTACAAAGATGCTCCTGGCTCTTCCAGGGCTTCCTACAGACACAGGAGCACTTGTCTGCCAAAAAAACTGTGCCCAGGGCTGCTTCTGGTTGGGAAGTCCAGAACACTGGAGGGTACTGCTATTATTCTTATTTTATTTCCCCTCTATAGTAAGGTGTTTTTTTAATACAGACAGCAAGTTGTGTTTTAGTGTGAAAACGAGGTTGATGGGCCTTGCTAAGCTGGGAAATGAGATGTCCTCAAGCAAGAGCAGCAGATCTTTAGAATAAAGACATCTATGTTGTTAAAAATAAAAAAGGGATATCTATTCTAAATAGTACAAAAGTGATGGAAGGTAGTGATGTAAATATGAAGTGGGTGGGTTATCTGTTCCTATTTATTTTATGAAAAGATTAATTTTCTCCTTGTGTTTTGTCAGTGTACCAAGCCAGAGTCAGTAATGACCGTAAGTCATTAACGTACTGTCTTCCCTGTACTCAGTCTGGTACCAAAGTGTCGCGTTAATATTGGAATATTGTTAGCCTTACTGTTTCTAACTCATACCTTGCTGGGCAGTTTCTGGAGCAGAACAACTGGTCAAACTGGCCATGTGTCTGAACTTCATATTTAGTCTTGCTGGTGTTTCATCCAGATGAATTTGAGAGGTGTAGCCAAGGAACCAATGGAGAAACCTAAAATATGGATTGTATTGTTACTCAGGGGAGTCTCTCAATCCGTATAGATGCTGACTCAATACTCAAAACCCAGAAGAGCTGTTAAATTATAAAGTACTTTTTTTTAGTCTTGAAATATTATGTGGTCTGATTTTTTTTCTTTGCATAATCTCATTAATTCTAGGTAGATACTTTGTAAACTCAATAAATGTAAATAAAAGTAACTCTGTACTTGGAAAAGATATTCATTCATTCAGATGACCTTCAGATAGTTTATTTACATAAATCGTAATGATGTCTGGGGATTTTTGACAGGGCTTTTCTTTTCACTTGTGGTTGCAGACGTTCCAGCGGGCTCAGGCCGTTTCTGTCTCTCAGGGAAAATTACTTTTTTTATCACTGGAGGTTTATTAGTGCTGGTAATAAGTGATGATAGCGATTAAAGAGTGATGAGGCATGGCATGTAATTGCAATCAAAGCAAAGGAGCACGTGGGTCGCGGCGTGCTTTCCTCAGGCTGAGGATAGCAGTCGGTTCGGTTCCTGTTAAACAGCAGTGACGGGAGGTGGAACTGTGTGCTTCTGCCTCTGCAGAGCTCAGCCTTTCTGAACTTAATGGTCTTGAACATTCCTTCCCAGTCAGGTCAAAAAGTAGAGAGAAAAATTCTCTGTGAGATTTTTCTTGTTGATTTTTTTTACTATTATTTATAATCCCATTTTTAAAGCTTTTTCATCATGCATACTTAACAAATATTTAAAATAGTCACAAAAATAATTTCCTGAACTGTCCTCTAAATAGTGGCAGAATTTAATAGTATATTTCTAGTTATTTCAGACTTCAAGCAGTCTGTTAGCATTAAAAACAAGTGGTGGTTAAAAAATGCACACACACATGACACCAAGCCCTCGTATTGCACCAAATGGAAGAGAAGATGGAAATATTATCGTGGCACATTTGCAAGATGACTTTGACCCCTTCCTTGCAAAAGTATCATGAAATGTTTTTCATCCAAGTGTGCTCGTGACCTTAGATTCTGCATGGCGACCCAGAGTTGGTATTTTCAGCAAGGGAGTCACGAGTGCTGATGCTGAAGTTGTGGTCAGTTTTCATGTTTATTCAGAGGTTAAGCGAGATGCTGAATTACCACTGTTACCCTTCCACTAATATTATTCTTTGTGGGATAATGGATATTCTTGTAGATAATAGTGTATAGTGGGATCATAAGATAACTTGAGAGCAATCAAGCTGTAAAATATTTTTTGGAGCAGGTCAGAGAAATATCTTAAAGATAAACTCACTAAAAACCTCTGTTACCTGATTTGGCATTTAATGTTAGGAGAGCCAAAGTTGACAAAATCATTTAGTAACTGTGGATGGAGTAGTGCTGTGAAAAGATGGAATTTAAGCTATGCTTCATTATGAAAGCAGTGTCAGAGATCTAACTTCTGCCTCATTTTTGTGCTCCGGTTTTGTTTCAACTTTGTAGGTTGAAGGGGACCAGTTACCTCCAGAACATACTGTCAGCCAGTATGAGACATGCAAGATAAGGACAATAAAAGCTGGTACTTTGGAGAAACTTGTGGAGAACCTTCTGACAGCTTTCGGGGATAACGATTTTACCTACATCAGTATCTTTCTCTCAACATACCGGGCCTTCGCTTCTACTAAGGAAGTGCTGGACCTTCTTCTTGACAGGTAAGTGCTGGTGTGTAACGGAAACTGAGTGACCTGGTTGCCCTCGACGCTGAGCCGTCATTTACATGGTAGGGGGATGTTGGCAGGAATTTCTTCCATCACTTCCAGTGGACATGGACTTAACTCTATGGACAGATATCAAGAGCACTGCAAAATTAAGAATTTCAGCATAAACGTAAAATGTGTAAATGCACGCTGCCTCCATCCCAACTCTCGTTAAAGCGTAGTCACTGGCCAGGGAAGGCGTCCCTTGTGTGACTGCTAAGGAACCCCGTTGGGATGACACAAGAAAATTAATAGAGCTTCTGCTAAAAAACCAGAGTGTATGGGCTACAGAGTCTTACCTAGAATAGATTCCTGCGTTTTACTGGGTACTGATATTTTCAAACTTAACTCTCCTGTTTGGGGGCTGCTGTTTTGAAAGAGGGATTGTACAAACATAAAGAATTCACCGTCCCCTTGTAGTACTTCATGTGAACATGCAATCATAAATTTCTGCAGACAGCACAAGAACTGCTTAATGTTTTAAGAATAGATTTTATGGTGAGACTGTTAAATCGTGTCTGTTATATCTGTATAAATGCTTAGAACCTGCAATATTAGTTTTCTCTCCCTGGATTCTAGCTGAGAAATGACTGGGTCAGAGGTGATCTTATTTTGGGAGTATGATATTTATTGCCTTTTCAAAATCAAGTGATGTGCAGAAGCAGTTAGTCTGACATATAGTAGTTAGAACAGAGTAGCAGCATATAAGAGCTCCTAGGTTTTAATTTTGGCTCTCCCGCTAGGTGGATAAGGAGCAAGGTACGGGTAAGTTATCTGTGCTTTTCCTTTGCATCTGAAAAAGGAGTATAATACTACTTGCTATGCAGGCACATTACACGGCTCAGTTAGCAGCAATGTTGAAATGCGTAGCTGCCAGGCCCGCTGCGGTTGTAATAATAACTGTGATTGCTCAAGTGCAGTAACTTCACAGGCAGGTAAGAGCTCAGATGAGGAACGAGCAGCTGTCCCTAGGGGCTGGGCCGTGTAGTTAGATCTCCTCCTGTGAGCTTCGCCTCTCAGTCCGTACAAATTCTCATGTAGAACATGAGGAGCAATAAAAACTGACGGTGCCCATATACAAGAATATGAAAATGTGGAGTAGTTCCTTCTTTTGGATGGGTGATTCTTTCTGTACCCTCAGTGTTGGATTCTCTGTTTTGGACTTGCGTGTCTTTGAAGAATAAAATGTGAAAGGACACCAAGTTTGTGTGAATTCTAGTAACTTCAAAGAGGAGCTTACCTGGCAAGTGACAGTGTCATGAGAATCTCTTGCTTCTGAAGCATGTAGATTGCCAGAGTGCCACAAATTTTATCAGCACAGCCAGGAGTTGTATGCGTATACAGTGTCACTTTCAGCCAGTAATGTTTCCTGTGTGATTTATTTTACTTGGTTTTAGCAGAACAAGTTGGGAGTAAGTAAAATAATAGTCTTTGCCACAAACAGCTATTTTAAATATCTTTCCCCTTAACAGTGCAGTTTTTGTTGCTCTGTTTTGGAGGATTGCCAGGCTGCTCTTCTGGGATTCTTACGTATTAATTGATGTGTATCTGGGGAAGTTTTCTTTCTGTAATCAATGAGAACTTGAGAGTAGCTCAAATATGTGAATCAGCCGATCAAACATGGCTCTAAACACCTTGATCCACACCTTGCTTTTCAGTTAAAGGCTCTTAAATTGTCTTAAGGTAACTTATTTTGTCTTAAGGCACATTAATTTATCTTGTTTAAATTCCCACAAAGTATCTTTATGTGCGTTCCCCACCCAGTTCAACATAGTTCAGTTTTTTGTAGTTTCCATTCTTATTTCTGTCTTACTGAGGTACTTCAGTAAATGCAAATAACTGTCCCACATGAGACTTAACTTCATTTTACAAAACACTGCACAAACATGCCTGGAATTGTTTGCAACACCCCCTACCCTGAAGACCCTCAACTGTCAAGAGTGAGAGGAATAGACTATAATGGAGATACTTAGGAGGAGCATGCTGAGGCAAAGAGCGAGTAACAGCTTAATTCATAGTGGCAGGTTTGGAATTCAGCCTGGGTTTTCATGCACCCGTTTTTCTACACGTCCTATGTGGTTGTGTTTTTTGCTCTCAGGAGGCAGAAGACTGTTATGAGAAGAGGAATTGATATACTGTATTTATTGAATTTGCATAACAGTACAAGATCCTGTATATCTGAGAAGGGAGTTCAAAATATATCAAATCAGTTAAGCTGGCTGAGCACCAAAGTGATGTTTTTGGAGAAAGTTCTTGGTGCCGGGGCGTTGCATTGGGTCCCTGGGGATGTGCTGGCTTTTGGTGTGTGCAGAGCCCCTGGGCAGGACTAGAAAAGGAGTCTTGTAGCTGCTGGGCTGGTTTGTCCTCCTGCGTGGAGGACTTCGTGTGAATCACCTGTTCCACCCAAAGGTTATAATTTCATGTGCAAGTGTGTGGATCTTTCGTTCTTGGCTGCCTCACCGGGCTGGGTTCCATGGGTGCTCCTGGTGGATCTTCCCGCAAAGTTGAGCTGAGGTCGAGGTGAGCTGGGGCACGGGAGGGCACGCTCAGCTGTGGTGTCCCTGCCTCATGCTTTTCCCTCTTTGTGCTTCCTAAGGATGTCGATCTCCAGAATTGTCAGTTCAGTCCTTCAGGGACTACTGAAATAATTAATTAATTTGAACAAATAGCCTAAATGGTATTTATAGCAGTGTCTCAGGTAAGTTTGGGCAGTTCAGGAGTTTAGAGCAGCAGAAAGTCAGGAGCAATGTGACCAAGGAAGGCGGCCCTGCCCTCCTTCTCTGGTGCTGCTTTATGGAGGTAAATGTGTCAGAAGAGGGCAGGAAAGCACAGAGGGAAAGTCTTCCTAGAATCATAGAATGGCCTAGGCTGGAAGGGCCCGCAGAACAGGACTTTGTCTTCTGAGCCCAATTCTTATCTTGGCCACCTCTGAGAGCAAGTTATAACGTCTGCTTCAGAGAAAGGGCACGTAGGCTGCCTGACCTTGTCAACGATATCCCCAGCCTTTTATAAAAAATGTTAGAATCCACAGGAAATCCTAGGAGGTCACCACTTCCTTCCCCTCTCAGAAATCTCAGGAGTGTAGTGCTTAAGAATCCATGGTTGTTTCTCTTGGCTTTTCAAATGTCATAGATAATCTAGAATTTTATGGCTTGGGACAAAGTATAGATGAAACTTAAGCTATAAAATGATTTACATGCAGCTGTGAAATACGGACTTATGAAGAAAAGCAGACAGTATAAAGAAAAACAAAAAAGAAATGGATAGGAATTGAATTTAACCAGGTTGGTTTTCATCTCTATGTTAATGTAGAATAAGTAGCAGAGACTGCATTTTTGCAGCCTTCTTGTTAGTATTACTTGTTAAGCCCTGTTTCGTATTCTTGGTGATAGAACGGGATTGTGCAGAAAGGGAACAGTTGTGAATAGCAATGCTGAGCTCTTGTTGTTTGGTCCAAAGGAGAACAGTGGTGTGTCCACATCAGTAAAGGCCCTCCCGGCTTGTTACAGGTGAGCAGCTCCTTGACATAGAACAGGAGGGAGCAGCAGCGGCATCTCCCAGTTGTAGGTTACGTTTTTTGTAGGAAAGTACGCATTGACAGACTTCCTCCAGAACGTTTCTATGTGGAAACTGGGTTCCTCTCAAGTCCAATGCATTCAGTTTGTGTTGGATTTTCGGGGGATAATCTTCTCACTGAGTGCCGAACACTTGTCTGACTCATGCATTAGACATACACAAATTCAGATTCGCCAAGGAGAGTCCTGGGACTCTTGGAAAATTGTCCTTGGAAATGTGGATGTAGTGTACCCAAAGTGAGTGGTCCCATTGGTCATTTGATGGTGGTCTGCAGAGTATCCTCTCCAAGAATTAACTGAATGCGGAGCATGAAACATCTGTTCTGTCCAAAAAAGGTGAGATGCTATTCCCGGAGTGATAGAGGCAAATAAAAAGCCAGATGCTTTTACTTGAGAGAAGTTGAAGTGTTGGGGCAGAAATAAATGAACTTTAAAGGGTTGAATAATTCAGAATAACGGGTGCTTTTTGTTGAATCAGTCTGTGCTGCGGTGAAGTTCTGTGAAATCTTCTGGACAAAACCTTTTTTCCTGGCTTGGGCCTTACTCAGTTAAAATAAACTGAGATCTGCTCACCAGCCATCAGCTGCTCTGAGGAGGCTGTTCTGGACTGCACGATGTAATCTTGATACCCTGCATGTGGCTGTGGAGGAGGTGGTACTTTTTCTTGGTGTAATAGGATGGACTAAAGGCATCTACGTGTTACTTACACTGCTTTTACTCCTCTGCAGTTTTACTCCTTGCAATGAGTTTGACTGGTGGCGTCCTCCCAGCAGGGCACAAACCAACGGGGCAGAGAGGAGTGATTCTAAAGGCAGTTTCTGCCCTATGATACATCCAGTGCAGCGAGTGGTCACACAAACAGTCAAGCAAGGCATACTAAAAGATTTAAATTTGTTAAAATATAATTCAGAATATTTTAAGACTGGTGCCGTTCCCTGTGTTTCAGTCAGGAGATACTGGATATTTGGTGCTGTGCTGCTTGTTGTAATGAGCCTTTAAATTGGGCCCTTTGCTAACTTTGTCCTTAGTAAAATCAGAGATGTGCTGTTTGCTCTCTCGGTAACTTTTAACGCTTCTTGGAGATTGTGAATAATTGTTCTTTGGTTTGGATTTTATTTTTTGCCCCTGCAGACTTCAAAGTAGCTTTTGCTTTTTATTGAACTATTTCTTTTGGCTGGGTTCAGCCTATAAAGATTTGGGTTTTTTTTAACATGGAGTAGATGTGAAATTAAACAAAATCTTGGGCATAAATTGATCTGTTGAAAAGCAAGGGGGATGACTTGTATTTTCAAAGCTATTTAAGAGTAATTGAACATCCGCATCCCTTTAGTATTCATGGAAGTTTGGCATCTACATGCAGCAGACAGCTTTGAAAACCTGCCAAGTGTTTAACACTATACATTCTGATAGTTTCTCTTTGTTTGGCAGAAGTGGGTAGGGAGATTTAAAAGAACAAAAAAACCCCAAACCAAACGTGTTGATGTTTTGATATGAAAACATTTGATGGAAGTTCCTGGAGAGAGGAAAAGGAGACCAGCTCCTCCTGCCCTGGGTGTGGAGATGCTAAAGCTCGATGCCTCCACAGAGATCCTTCGCCGTCCCCAGTGTTGCTGGATGCGCTGTGAGAATAACCGCTCACCGGGGTGGCGGAAGCCAAAGATGTTTGGCTGTCCAGAGGAGAGCAGAACCAGGCCACGCTCCTCTCTGCTGTGTTTTATTTTGTCCTGGTAATCATGTTCCTTGCGGTGGCGCTTAGAAGCGGGGCTGTGCTGTGCTTGGCACAGGCGCAGATAAAGTAGCAAACTTCCCTCTCTTGAGTCGTTTACAAGAGAAGGGAGTGGATGGGCGAGCCGGATAATGACATTTTCAGTTCACTTCTTTTGCTGAAGGATGGCTCGGTAGAGGGTAAATGGGGAGGGAAATGAAGGTGGAGCTGAGGGAATGGGTCCCACATTTTAGGACAGCAGCTTGATCTGGCATTTGGCTCTCTGTTGTTGCTGCAGCATCTGTTCTTTCCTCTGTTGTTTTCCTGTATAACATGATTTGTCAACTAAAGAAGTGACTTCACTTCCATGATTCTGTGTGTATATAATGCTAAACACCTTATGATTCTTGCTGAATATCTGTGCTTCTGTGTTGTTTGTCTGAATGCTTACAAGCTTTATTTAGGGCTTTGTGTGGGGCTTTTGCAGAGAGCCATCTTTCCTTACTATCTCCCAAGTTATTCAAAGAGCATGTTCCTCCCTCGTCTTCCCTCATAACGGAGACGCAGGGGTGCATTTTCTACTCTATCTTTCAGTATTTAAATATTCAGTACTACCCATTACATTCTGGTCTCATTTGCTTTGTCAGTCCTTTTGAGTAGAGTCCATAACTTTCTAAACACCAAGCAAGGCTGAAAAGTTCTGTGGGCTTACAGGATCCTTTTGTTTCTCATGTCGCTTTTTGTATGCAAAGCATTCATACTAGTCCGGGTGGTGAATGGCTCTTTGTCCAGGAGCTGGTGAGAACAGAGCGGTGGAAGTCTGCAGAAACGCTGTTCTTTACATCAGTGTTATTAACTCCTCCTAACCTGTATTTAGTGCTTGTGCAAAGTGCTTGCATTGAGAGATGGGCAGAGGTTTTCATCTGACAATATTAAAGAACATTATATACTCTTCCAGTTTCGTACAGAAAATTGCCTACTCTTGTATTACTGTGTTACGGATTCGTATTGTAAAAATCAGCATGTATCTCTAGTGGGATTTAAATGCAAGGGCCTAATATTCTGCAAATACATGTTTTATGTTTTGTACAATACTAAGACAATGACACTGAGCCATCTCAATAAATTTTGCTCGGAGAGTTAATGGCAAATTTTGAAAAATGAATACAAGTGTCATTCAAAAAGAGAAGCATTCTTTGCGTATTTCTCCCAGCCGGGGTAGGGGGGAGGGAATAATATCTATTGGCTAAAATGTATTTTAGTCGTCTTACCTAGCAGATGGCGGTGGAGAGTGAAATCCTCTCCCTTTAGCACCCATCATAGCATGTAATGTACGTCAGACCAGCACCGTGTCTCTCGACTCTCTCCTGGGCGATCTTCACTGAGAAGGTGTCGACTTACTTCTCTAAATATCCCCCTTCCAGTTGTCTTGTATCTTCATGGTGAGGTGATATATTACCTGGTGGTGTAATATTTGCAAGTGCAGGGCAGTCTCCAGGTCTGCGAGAGCAAATATTGAAAGCAGTAGAGTTAAATCTAATAAAAATAGGTTAAACTTAACGCTTTCCTAAGCTGAAGTGCAAGAAGCTTTATTCTTACGGCTCCACTGATGCATTCCATCCTTGCAGTAAAGCAGTGGGAAGTACTTAAAACTAGTTAATTGCGTTTGCTTTGAATTGCAAACGCTAGTAATGAGTGTTTAGGGTATGACTGAGAGCTGAGAGAGGTCAGGTAGGGTAGGTGGTGAATTCAGGCAAAGCTGAGAGTCGGAAAGAAGGTATCTGTTCAGTTTTACAGCTACAGTAGTGATGACCTCAATTAGAGAAGTATGGGCAGGGTGTGAAGTTGCTCAAGAAAATATAGGAGAAAGCACAGAGGCCATTGATGCACAAAAAAAGTTCAGAGCAAGATTGACAGCCGTTCTTGTACCGAGCAGTGGTTTCCCCTGCATGAAGCTCCTGCTTCACTGTGACCGCTGAGGGACTGAGGTGTTATTCAGCATGTTTAGGGGTGAATTCTTGCTCTGTTGTCAGTTTAGCTAGGCGTATTTTTCCTTACATGTCTGGATTAGTTCTGTGAAATCACAACACTGTGCGTACCTCTAAGGATCCTTTCTAAGAAGTTCTTAAAACTTAATCACATACTTATGCTGTCTATAGGACTAGCAGGACTGTTCCAGAATAACAGAAGAACTTGGGCCCTTTAAAACATAAGTTTGCAAGTGTACCTCTAAGGATCCTTTCTAAGAAGTTCTTAAAACTTAATCACATACTTATGCTGTCTATAGGACTAGGAGGACTGTTCTTGGGCCCTTTAAAACATAAATTTGCAAGTTTTTATGAATGTGTTGTGCCTTTTTTTTTTTCTGAACAGATAAAATGCTGAGATTTTTCAAAGTCTTCACCACTGACGGGGGATCTTGGCTTGAATGAGAGACAGTGTGTCGGTCAGACTAAGCTACTGGGGTGCAGCAGTCACAATTTTGTTCACAGCTTTGTCACGGATGAGTGCAAATAATTTTCTGTTATGTCTACCTGCAGCCTAGTCGGAGATGCGAGATCTGTTTTTAAATGAGCTGTTTCAGATAATGCAAGTCGTCTTAGCACAGTACTCTCAAGGCTCAGTAAACCCAAGCTGACCTCTCTATGACTGTGGCTACGTCGCTCCTATCAGAGGGATTCCTTGTTTGCCTTATTCGTTTGGGTTTACTTCGCAGCCCACTGCAATTTATGCAAACTCTTTCTGCCTCAGCTTCCCCACCCACAGCGGGGCTGACCAATGTTAAGCCCTGGTCATAAGGCTGATGAAACTTGAGTTCCTTTTCTGAGGTATTGTGGAGTTTGAGGCTGCGAGCCATGGTGCGGCAGAATGGGGGTGCTAGGTGATGTTTACAGTCTAGCAGATCCGCTGCTGGGGTGCACTTGAATTGAGTTACCCCAGTTGACTTTCTGTGCAGATTTGGGATTCTTTCACAGGAAGCTTTAGATTGTTATTTTCAAGGAGGATAGAAACTGCCACGTCTTACTTTTATCCTTTGAAACATTTTGGATGAATTTGTTACCGCTCCAACATGAACCTTCTGGACGCACACTGACAGCCCGCTGTGTTTTCTCCGTCTGATGTTACTATGATGTTGTAGCACAAACGCTTAAAGATGAACTCGTTCCACTAACTCTGCAGAGGAATTGCAGGAGTGACACAATTAGTTGAGTGCAGAATGTGCAAAATCAGCTCGCCCTATTCTGGACTGTGAGTAATTGTCCACAGTCATTAAAGCTGCCTGTGAGGAACCATAAAATTCTTGGTGGAGCTGTGTATCTGAAACAATGGGCCCTCCCATTGAAAACGAAGTGCATAATCCTCCTTCAAGGCACATGCACTGCCTACATAGGTGAGAGATTTTGCTTTGTGCTGGCAGAGCCATGACCGTGGTTTTCTCTTTGCCAGTGGCATTTTCACAGTGCTGCTGGCCACTCCTGCTCGTTGGCGACTACGTCACTAGTTTTGGCACAAGGGAGTACTTACCACCTTGAAAACTTTGTGTGAAGTCACCCTTGGAGTTAGAAAGAATGCCAAAGAAAACCCAAAATTGTACTGGAGAAAATCGTTGTGTTACAGCCTCATTGCACAAAAATATTGCTCTGGGAAAGGATGGAGTGAAAATGGGCAGAAAACGTCTTGGAGCTGTGAGCAAATGAACTGTTTTGATTTATTCGTCCTGTGTGCAGATTGCTTCATATAAATTAACACTTTAGGTTGGAAGATACTGATTGTCTCTTCAGGATTTTTCCCTCCTAAATGAAACATATTTCAAGCTCTTTAATTTTGCCCAACTGTTAGATTCTGTGTTTGTAGTTTGAGCTAGAAACGTTTTTTTAGCTGCTTATGATAATTGCATATGAATTATGCTGTTTGGGATTTCACTGTTAGAGGTTCCTCTAAACACCCGTCTCATTTTTCAGATATGGAAACCTGGAGACCTCAAGCTGCGGAGAAGTTGAAAGCCAGAATTCCTCTGAATCCCAAGGAGTACTCAAGAGGTAAGTCTGGTTTTGCACTGTACGCCAAGCCCCAGTCAGGGTTCGATGTTGGGGGAGGATGTGGGCAGTGTAGCTGTTGTTCCCTTTGAAAACTCGCAGCACTCTTTGCTTGATCAAACAAGCTTCTGTAAAAGCCAAATATCAACTGTCTTGTAACATATCCAATCATATAACCCAGCAATCTTCCCATCAGGGAGATCGTCTCAGAATTAAACATGAACTGAACACATCGAGGCCAACATTTTGTTGATTAAACAAACAAGGAGTGTTTGTTTCCCCTGCTTTATCTGTAGCAGTGAATGGTTATTGCTTATGCCTGATTTTATTGTGCATTACAGCAGTGCCTGCAGACCAGAGCTGAGGTTGTGTCAGGCAACATGTGTATGCACGTACCTTTTCCACTGTGATTTACAGTGTTGCTTTTAGAGTGAAATTTCAATTTTTGAAGTCATCCTAATTTGCAAGTTAAATAGCAAAGCTGTTTGGGAATACAATTTAAATGGGAAAGAAGTGGTTTGGTTATCCTCCTAGCATAATACGAAGCTGTGTTTTATCTTTAGATGTTGGGTGTAAAATGCATCTTAGGTCATCAGCGTTTGTACTTCGACATCTGTGTGTTCTGTGGTTTGCATGCGTCGTGGCAGTAAAAAGTAGCTGTGTCATTGTATTACCCTATGGAGAGGCTTGATGCTTGGCAGAATTACTGAGGATGGTTCTTCTATGAATTTATCTCAGCTTTCACCAGTTAAGAAAGCCTTAAATAATTGTCAGCATGCTTCTCAATGCAATCACAATTTTTATCAGTGCATTTTCTCAAGGTATAATTGAAGAAGAACTTGCCTTTAGTTTCTTCGTGTTTTGAGATGGAAGAAAAGTCTTGAACTTTTCTATTGTGAGTTACGCAGTCCAGTCAAGACTGACTAAATACACTGCAGTATTTTCATTGCTGAGACCTTTGGTTTGGATCACTTTCTGTTCTACAATATGGGACCTGGTCTTTCCACCGCTCACCTCCGTGCTCTTCGTGCCTTGTGTGCAGGGATAGGAGGATTTTGAGTCTGACTTGAAACGGTTCAAACATCCCCAGTGCAGAAATGTGCCGTTAACATACTGAACACTTCCCTGTCCTCATCTGCCTGAATGCAGTGGTTAGACAGTGGGGTCGCTTTGCCTTCTGTCATCCGGGTGGAAGCAGTTTTGTTTAACCACCAGAGATGAATTAGTAAAAGCTCCTTGGCTGTGAGAATTTCAGTAGCTGTCTCTGAAAACATAATGAATTATGCTTGCTTGGCTGCAGAGGAAATGTAGAGCTTAATTAATGTCTGCCAGTGATACAGGATTCTCGAAGGCTTTAGTTAGAAACAAAATGTTATCACTTGTTAATTTTTTTAATTTTTTTTTGCGCTTAGCAAGGTCAGAAAACTGCAGGCTCTGATGATGTGGGCTGCTCCTCTTGCCCCGTGAAACTCAACACAGGAGCTCAATTCTCTGATTCTTCCCTGGCTGGTGTAACAGAGAGTGTCAACATTTTCCTACCGTTTCACCATGAGAACTCATCAAAGAACAGATAGTGGTTAAAACTTGGTCACAAGCACCAAGAAGGCACTATTATGTAGCAGGCAGAGGCAATAATAGGCAGGCAGCGGGTTCCCACAGTCCCCTCCAAAACAGCTCTAGGGCCTTTTCCAGCTTTGGGCACGGCACTTGACCTCCCCCTGTCCCAGTCAGTCCAGCTATAAAATTGGAGCTGAAGCAGTACCCTTCCTGCAAAATAGGTTAAGGATTTGTATCGGGGGTGAGGAAGATAACTCCACCAGTATAAATCACACTGGGATTTATCCCCCGACTGCCTTTTCATGGATCCGAAGGAGCTTGATGGTGAGGTGGAGAGAAGAAGGGTGGAAGTAATGCTGATGTTAGCGTCACTCAGGCTTTGGGCAAAATGCATCAATTGTTTGCTATGCATGGAGGTGAGTGTGCAAGTGAAATTGTGCTTAGTAGGAGCATGTTTGGTTTTTTATTGATTTTTAAATGGAATTGTCCTCCTGCTGACATATGCGTAGTTTACCGTATACCTCCAGCCTAGTTGCTTCCTGCTGCAGCACTGCTCTCTTCCCACTTGACGTGTAACCGTGGAGTAACACCTTTGCACAGCCAGGGACCGAGTCCGTGGTCCTGTTCCTGTGGTGGCACAGCTTCTGAAGAGTTTATCTGACATAATTTTCGTTAATGTGGTCAGCACAGCTGATTTTGATCCTTCAGCCCTCGTATGATACCTTTTCTGTCAGAATTTGATACCTGCTGCCCACCTACCTGTTTATAGACAGCTCAACCATGAAGTTGTCAACAAAGTAATTTGTCAGGGATAGATATGTTTTAACAGATCCTGTATAAATGTGAATTCACTCCCCTGCCTTACAAGTTTCCGTTGCTCTCAGTTACTCTGGCTACTTGTCTCTTGATGTGATTAATGGTATCTGGAAAAGAGGTTGGCTTTGTAGTCCTGTTGCGAAACACGCAGTTCTAGTAGTTCAGGTTTTCTGTCTGAGATAATTCCAATATAATTGCATTTGCCCTCTTTTCTCATAGAACGTGATATTGTTATGCTCTCGATTTTATATAACTTGGAGAAACAGGAGGAAGAAGCGGTAGAGACATAGTATTTCTTATCATTAATTCTGTTTCTCAGAGGAAAAGTATCTTGTGGGGAAGCCCATGGTCTGTGGCCAGAGATCTTCTGGATTCGTCAGACTCCTGTTGTGACAGTCCAGATGCTTTAAAAATCTGTTTGAGGCATTAGAAACAGGGATGCAGTTTGAAGCATTTCCACTGGTTTGACACAAAAGAAGACTACAAAAGTTAAAAACAACTACAGGAGAAGAGTTTAGGACTCTTTAAGTACCTCATGGAGCTTTAAAGAAGAGAGGCTGTTTTGCAGACTCTTAGGGAGGAATACTGGGTGGTATGTGGCTACTGCAAGCCCACAGGTTGCTACTTACAGTGTTGAAATCGACTGCTTTTTGCACTGGCAGTATAGAGCTATGATACATTTTGAGAAGGGAAGTGCCTAACGTACATAGGGTGGTATTTTTTCATTTTTATTGTTTTAGCACAGCACTTAGTGTTCATATAGCTCAGAACCTGCAAGTCCTACGCTGGAGCTTGAGCACACTCGTGGCACAGCCTTGTTTGCGAGACTTGTGGGAGCTACAAACCTAACCTTGTGTTTCCAAATTCTGGGTCTGAGCCAGCAGTTACTTCTCACGCTTGTTGCAGTGACATATAGTTGTTACTGACCCAAGAGCACTTCAGCTATGTTCGGAAACATGCCTTCTACGGGTCCATTCTGTCAAGGGAGTTTTTCTCCTGTTCACTTAAGCATCGTTCCTGTCATTTTTGGGCTGCCGGAATGGTGAAAAAAAGCCCTTATTTTTCAACAGAGATCTGGATTACATCTAATCCAAAATGTCTCTTGGACTTCTCATTTTTGCACTTTTATTTAAAACTGCATTCAGTAATACAGACTTTAAACAAAGGTACCGCAACTTTGCAACTTTAAAAATGCACAGGCAGTTTGGACTTCAGAGTCATGAGTAAGTCTGAACACTGAAAACTTCTGTGAATTTAAAAAACCCCGCTGTGCGTGACTCTGAGCTTTCTTTGTTGTTTGTTTGGGTTGTGGTTTTTTTTTCCTGTCAGGACCCACCTCAGCTTTTCATGTTCAGTAGTTTGCTTTCCAGGGTTCTTATTACTTTCAGTAAGGACGATCATGATCACAAGTAACAGAAGAATCAAGTCCAGAAAAGGTCAGGTATTCAGTCTGAGTTAGGTGGACTTCAGTCTGTGTTTCCAGAAATATGATTCCATGTCTCTCTTAACTGTCTGATAGGAGAGTTGTAAGGAGTGACTTACTTGAACCTTTGTCTCCTCCTATAAGCGATGCCTTTTGCTCTTCCTTTTGTCATACAAACGAGATCATCTGGTGCTGTTTCTCATTTCTGCATGTTTTTGTGTTGAGGTGTTAATAGCGTTGCCTCCTCATCTTAGGTAATTTTCTGAGTTTTCTGCTTTCACCACGTTTTAGCTTAGGACTTCTATGACTTTCAGAGAGGATACAACACAACAAGACATATGACACCTCAGAATAAAGTCATATATGCCCTAAGCGCAAAAAGTGTCAACATGATGAGTAACATTAAGAATTAAAGAGAGGTCCATATGATAGTATACATTATATGAACCGTAGAGAATTTGCACTGTGATTCAGTTATGTTTCTGTTTTTAAATGAGGTTTTGAGGTTCAGATTGCCTGGTACGCGTCACCTGACAAAAACCAAATGAGGAAAGGAATAAAGTACTTCCTCTTGCTCATGTCTGGTTTGAAGATTCTACACACCTCACTAACCAGGAGTCACGGGAGACTTCAGTGAGGTAGTCATGTCCAGGAGGCCTCAGGCACCTTTATGTATTCTGGGAAGAGGATCAGCAAGCCAAGCAACTGATGCTGTCGGGGGTCTTCGCTCCTCCTGAAGTGGTTGTGTGCATCACCTTCGAGATAGTTAGAGACAATGCTTTTGGTGATAGGACCTGCGCACTGTGATCTCTGTTCAGAGCAGAGCAGTTCCTCGGTTAACTTTTAACTCACAGTTGAAAGGTGGAGTTGTCTACGCAGAACGAACTCTGAAATAACCTGTGCCCTGTTTCTCTCCTTCTCCTCCTCCTAAAAGAGGGTGTTAATTTTGGTCTGTGGGCAGTCCACTGCTGGCAGACAACTATGCCCAAACCACTGTCAGTTTAGAGGTGATGTATTAAAGGAGAAGAGCACTTCTTTCCCAGAAGATAGGTGAGGATACGGAAAGAAACACAGAACTTTCAAAGTAAAGAACAGCGTAGCTGCTTGTACCTTTTGGAATACAATACTTTCTCTGGATACTGGGATTCCTCTGAGTAAAGGGAGGGTCCAGAACAGTGCTGGGGTTGTGTCACCGAGATGCTTTGCT